ACAATCTTATTATCTTATATTTTCTTTTATAAAATTATAGTACAAGACCACCTCTAAAATGTGACACTCCACCTCTTTTTTTAATATTTATATTAACTATTTATCTTACTTAGTTTATGCTATGGTGAAATAAGTAAATGTAGTAAAATTTGTTTGCATCTCCACATAGCTATTGTGTAGTCCTTCCAAATCCTTCTTATGATCACCAGCTCAATAAAAAAATATTATATTATTTTTTTTATTACATCTCTTGTGAATGTTTGGTTACCAAGGTTTTTTCTTCAAAATAGAATTAAAAAAATATATATCAATAAATTTAAGAAACTAGTAAAGAAAAACAAATCCACCAAAATTTATACTTACATAAGTCATAATAATTATTAGATGTTCAATTACGATTTTAGAGTTTTTTGTGAGCATTTGAGATTGACTATATTTGAACCGGTTAATAGTATACTTCTTCTTCTTCTCTTCCGTAAGAATATTAAAATTTTAATACCCTTAACAAAGGGTGCATTAACAGCCGAAGTGTCGAAAAACTTCTGATGCATACTATAATTCTAGTTGTCTCTTCAGGTATAAATGATCGCTTTGGTCAATGTGTAACGAACGCCATCCAATCTAGCGAGCATTCATCCCCTTCCAGCAATAAGTCCACCTGACGGCATTCATCCACTAAGACCAGTCTAAAACAAATGAACTATTGTGATAGTTCATTTGAATGGTAAGCGTCACATCAAATATCCGCTGCCTCCCCCGCCATCACTTTAATCCTTGGGTGTCTCTAACATTGTCTCTCCTCTGTCTCTTTGTTTCTGTTGATTTGAGGTAGCTGCTGGTTGTTCTTCAGTGACACAGCTCGTGTGTGCAATTTCTTGTTGAGGGTAGCTACAGTGGATTAACAGATGTTCTTGGAAAAGTGTGCCAGTGAGCTTGCATCATCTGTAGAACTCTATCCTCAAAATTTCTTAGGAGAGTGTGAGGTTGTTTTAATTGCTACAGTTTATGAAGTGCAAATTTTTTCTTCCCTTAATTTAGGCGCGCGTACGTTATAATGTGACAACCTCTCGATTTCTCGCCGCTTTTTCAGGCTTAGAGATTCAGTAAGAGACCTGATATTTAAGCATGTAATGACTCGGAAACGAGGTTGGGGGAAGCCTGAAGGAGTGGATGGATCTTCATGTTTCAAGGTGCTTTTCACGCGCAATTGTGGAAAAGAAATGTCACAAATACTGTTATTTCATTATTTAGTTGCCGTGTTTTGTCACCAGTTATGTCCTTGTGAGAATTTTGGGAAAGTTTTGTAGACTTGTAGAGAATATGTGACGTCTGTTTATTGTCAACATGCTGCGGTTTCGTGATTGTCCTATGAGTTTAGAGTAGCAATACAACTTTGAGGATACTTCTAAGGAATTCAAAACTCAGGCAATGTCATTTTCAATTTCTTACCGGATTTTTTTTGAATCAAAGGTTAATGTAGGGAGTTCAATTTTGTAGTCTTCGCTGGTTTGTTGCTATTTAATGCACACAGTAAAATCTCAGGAAGGTTTTTCGAAAGTGTGCCAGGATTCGCATTTTTATTTTTCTTAGTATTCTGCTGACAGTGTTTTGACGCTGTTGACTAGACCATGAGTTCTACGAGGGTCTACATTGTTGGAAAGTACAGAAGACGAGAGCAACCTTGGAAAGAGTATGAGATTCGCCAAGACGACCCAGATGTTATTATTGCTGCAAGGTCTTGTGCTGCTCGAAGTTGTGAATGCACAGACAGGTACTAGGGCGACAATTGTTTCTTTCATTCACAATGTACTACAATATACTGGTCATATTTTCAGGTTTTCCTTGCCAGAAGATGCTGTCAGCAGAGTAACTATGCTGAATACTAAAGCTACCATTACGATCAACAGGTTGAAACTGTTTGCGAATTTACTTGGTATATATAATGTATCGCCAAGCCAAGCCAAGTGTGATCAATTAAAAACCAAATATCATGTCTAAAGAGGGGTTCTCTGTTAGAAAGTTGCAGATAGAAAGTCGAACAGAATCTTTAGAAATGTCGCCGAGTCTACGGGGTCCATGTAAGCCCGAGAAGAAAATAGAAAATTCCGTCCTCAAGTTTGGACTTAATTGCATATCTCTTCCTTACTCATCATGTTATGTTATCTGAATTGAAGACATTATAGTGGAAATGCAATACACGGTGTCTGTTTGCCACCGCATCATGTTACCAGTTTAATGTGGTACATGTTGGAGTGTCTACCGAATTATTTAAGTTTATCACTGTTTCTGCAGGGTTCACAAGTCTCGTGTGTGGAGCTCCCTCAGATTATATCTCTCAAAGTGACGGCATCTCTTGGACAAGTGATACTGCTTTCGCTCCGCCTATCAGTAAAACATTCAGCTTACCCAGTAATTCATCCCTCCGTACACTGCGGTCATTCCCTCCTGATGCTAGCAGACCTTCAGGAAGGAGCTGTTATAGCATTCTTGTTCCGTTTGGCCTCAGTCTTGTGCGAGCGACTTTTACCTACGGGAATTATGACACTCTCAATAAGCCCCCAGTGTTTGGAGTGTCTATTGGAGCAACTATGTTTAGCACGATAAATTTCAATACGCAAGACCCGTGGGTTGAGGAGATGATTTTGAATGCAGCAGAGGTGCAGACCTTCTGTCTTATTTCTATGGATGGAATCCCTGTAATTTCACTGCTCGAGTTTCGTCCACTTCCACCAGGAGCCTACAACCATGCAAGTTCCTCCCTCGGGGTGGCGCTAAAGAAAATATACCGTATTGACTGTGGGTCAGAAGCCATGAAAAATACGAGGTGAGAATCACGAAACAGATCGGTGTGTAAATGATAAAGTAACTTTGATATGAAGTCTACGGAAAGTTTGCTGAAATCATATGAAAATAGCATGGAAAGAGAAATCAAACGTGTTATTGGTTCTCTTGAACTTAGAGCAGCATCAAAGGACTCAACCTTGAAAGTTTTGCAACCATGCAAAAAGTTAAGATTCCTGGTCGTATTACTAATGGTGGTTAGTAATTTTAACTCAATTCCACTCAATTGAATAAGCAGGTACCCAGACGACAACTACGACAGGATTTGGAACTCTGATCAATACTACCTTGACGCAAGCACCTCGAGTACTCACTCAATTACACACGACTTGAATACTTCGGCAGTAGCTGATGCAGCCCCTATGACTGTACTGCAATCAAATCGATTCAATTTCCGCAATCAGTCACTATCTTACAGTCTACCCTTAGCCAAGCCGAACGGAAAGTACCTTATGAACACATATTTTTCGGAGCTGCATGGTGCAGTTGGTCCAACTTTCAAGCTTTCTGTAAACGAGGCAGTTCTAATGACAGTAGGTGGATTGCCCCCTCTGTCAGTCTCTGAGTTCACAGTGACGCAGGCCGCAAGTTGGTGGTGGAATATCTCCCTTCTTCCAGTGTCAGGGGCTCCACTAATCAATGCTCTTGAAATTTATGAAACCGTGCAGTTGCAGCACATATCTAATAAAAAGGATGGTAAGTCTCAGTGTGGTTTGCAGCTTATCATCCTTCTGAAGATTATGAAGCTTGGTCCCTTGTCTGAGGAAATCTTACTAACGGATTCCGTAGCTTTATTATAGCCATCGTAAGAGTGTCTAGTATTCTATGAGTGACAGTCAAGCAACTCCTTACTTGAGCGTGGTTTCGCGGTGTGTAGCCAGGGCGCTTAACTTGATAAAGCTTAGCTTTAACGCCCAGAATATACTGCTAGACTGGTCTCTTGGCAGTGATCCATGCTTCCCAGTTCCATGGAGAGGGATCTCTTGCGATACGACAGGCATAGTAACTTCTTTGTGAGTACATTTTCTTATTTTATTTTTACTTTTAAAATATACTTTTGTCTTCAGATTTTCTTTTCATTTTTTCTGTGGAACACATTTTTCAAAATTAGCATGCTATCATGTTTATACAATATTAGAAATTCCTAATGGAAAGGACATTTGTCCGTCTCAAGTTATGGTCCTGAAAGATGTTGAAATAATAAGAGAATTCACGCTCATTTGCAGGGATCTTTCGCGTTCCCAATTATCAGGTGATGTTGCTGGCCTGTTTCAAGACTTTACAAGGCTTGAATATTTGTAAGCAGCTCGTCTTGATTGAATTTTGTATTGATAACGTATGCCATTCAAGGTGCACATTTGTAAAGCTTCAGAACCTTTCATTTTATGAAGTCGAATGAATCAACTTATATAATGGCAAACTTGTGTGCAGTATAATTGTCGATCAAAATAGCATCAAAATCAATTACATCTAGTCGATGGCTAATTTAAAGCTTCGTTCCCGTCAGATCCTTTTTGAGTAAATATGACATGAATGCTTCACAAGCTTTTGATCACGCGTGTCATTTCTGCATATCTGCGTCGTCGAAAACGTCTTGCATGCATGGACTAAATGTCAATGATTTGCACTTGTGAGTTACAAAGTAAGAGGTTAATATTTGCAAGTTGAACTGCAATGACGGAGTCGAGAGCAACAAAAGCTTTTTCACTGATAACTGCGGTCGTCAACATCAATTTCATGAATGCAGAAATGTAAGTGGCAACAATCTCTTTGGGCGAATTCCAGACCTTAAAGGGCGTTTCCAAAGCTTAAAAGTGCTGTAAGCTCAACTTCCTGGCTTTCCTGGTGACGTACTCTGCTTTGTTTTTATAGTTTGTCCTGTGGAATTTCTGTGAAATCCACGTTTAATTTATGTTTCCTTCGTTTCGGTTCTTTCTGAATGGTCCCAATTATCGCAGGTGACTCTGCTGTTAGACTTTTGTTTAATAATGTATTCACCGACTGGCCCCTGACTTTTCAGCTGTACTCAAAATATTGCTGTGATTGGTTATGTATATCTATCCATCTCTCTCTCTCTCTCTCTCTCTCTCTCTCTCTCTCTCTCTCTCTCTCTCTCTCTCTCCATATATATATATATATATATATATATATATATGTTTTAGACTAGTTGCATCTTCTGAAACGGCCCTGTCCCTTGGTGCTGTTTCATTTGTGCATTGCAGTGATTTAAGCGATAATCAACTTACTGGTACCCTTGATGGATTTGCAACCTTGAATCTTCACTACCTGTGAGCGCGATGAATTCAATTTGAGCTGGACAAAGTTGCATAGTCTAATTATTGATTTGTTCCGTTAGAAAAAAAATAATATAAAAAAATCTAAGAAACTCTCGAATGTAGCCTGACAATGGATACAACATTCTTATCAATGCTTGCGGCATTCTAGACTTGCATAGGGATAAACTTCATCTTAAATTTTAGTAACAGTAATAGTAATGTTTTTGCTGCTTCTTTACTGCCCTTCTTATTTAGCATTCTTAGTTTTAATATTAATGGCTTTATCAGGAACATTGCAAATAATCAGTTCTCGGGACCTATACCAGAAAAATTTGACCAGCCCGGCCTGGTATTAATGTAATCATTCTCTGCCAATCCTCAGCAAATACTCTTTCGAATACTGCATGTTCACATGCTAGAAGTGAAGCAAAGTCCTTAATTCTTTGCTAAACTTAATTATTTGATTCAAAATTAAACATGTCGTCTCAATTGTTCTCATTACTTGCTGGAAATTGGTGCAGCACGTTGGGGAATCCCTGCATCCAGTACGCCACAAATCCCTGTCCATCTGTGACAGACCACAAACCACAACCTGTTGGTATATCCGCTAGAAGATCTGGACATCACTCAAGGTCGCTGGTGGTAGGGGTCGTGTCTGGAACATTGGCAGCCTTGCTGGTCATTGCAGCTGCCGGGATCATTTGTTGTCACCGCTACAAACTACAACGAGAATTAATGGATGCTTCCGAAGAAGGTGACACCCATTAACTCTGATTTTATTGAGATCGTTTGAATTATATCCCTTGGGTTGGATTGGGAGAGGGATCCTCTGCACAATTTTAACAGTTCTTTCACTTTATTTCTGCAGCTGGAACGGTTAACATTCTAGAAAAAGACCTAACACTAGACATGGATGCTAAGAGATATTCCTTTCAAGAACTTGAAAATGCGACCAATCATTTTAAACAAACTTTAGGGGAAGGCAATTTAGGTCCCGTTTTCAGAGGCAGATTATTAGATGGAACGGACGTTGCCATCAAAATGCGGTCAGATGGTTTACAACTCAATGCTGATTCATTTCTGAAAGAGGTATGCGAAATCCTAGGTCAACTGGATAACATGGGTTAGTACTCGGTGTGAATGTCATGCTGCGCACCATGTTTTCGGTTAAGAAACGCTTGTGTAGTGTATTCGGTCCTTTTTATCGGTCTTCTCTTTCTGAAGATTTGATAATGCAGATATCGTTTCTGTCAAAGGTGCGCCATCAGAATCTGGTGCTTTTAAAGGGGTATTGTCTAGAGTGCAAGAAACAGCTTCTTGTCTTCGAGTTCATGTCTGGAGGTTCACTCAAGGATCATTTATACGGTAAGTGGCCCTGGTTACTATGACAAATGTTAATAGAATACGTCTATAATGGTGAAAGCACGCGATGAAACTGATTTGTGTCACTGCGTGCTGGTGTATCCACAGGTTCACTGTCAAAGGTCCAACCCATGAGCTGGGAGCAAAGGCTCACTTCAGCGCTAGGCGCGGCGGCTGGTATAATCCAACTCAAAACTTTATCTCCTATTTTTCCAAGTTATCCTTGTCAGACAGAACGTAATGTGCGATGATGCATTCTATTCCGCTCAGGAATCCGACATCGACTGGATCATGTAAAAACATGCTTGCAAGCTTTGTGGCTTGTTATTTATGAGTGCAAGCTGCCTTTCGAGGAGAACTAGACTGTGCTCAAAAGGAATTGACATCATTTGCGGTATGTAGGACTAGAACATCTGCACCGTGGAGGTGACTTAAAGACCATACACAGAAACGTGAAGAGTTCGAATATCTTACTAGGACTCAATTATGTCTCGAAGGTCTCTGACTTCGGCCTTTCGAAGCCGGCTGTGCACGCTGAGAAGACGGATATTTCAACCTTCGTTAGAGGCACAGCAGGCTACCTTGATCCTGAGTAATATTTCGACTTAAACCTGTAATTTCTTAACGAAGTGTTCCACTCAGAGCATGTTACTTCATCTTCCCGTCCGGTTTGAGTCGTAACAAGAGTTTCCAAAGACAGAAGTTCACCTAGAGCTTATGACTCTTGACTTAGCTGAATGGGCAGACACTCTACATTATCTATCGTAGGTAGATGGTTGCTCTCATCATGATGATTCCTGTAAACATTGCGAAGAGAGGGTGTGGTTATGTATTTATGCATTTTCCTAATCAAACTTCTGTGAAGATTTCTCATATTTCGTGGAGTCTTTAAAAGACTTGATCAATTGTGGGACTGGGTTGGAATGTGATGTTAGGTATTTCAACACGTCGCAGCTTACTGACAAGAGCGATGTATTCAGTTTTGGAGTTGTCCTTATGGAGATCCTTTGTGGACGGGAACCTCTTTCCAGTGACTGCGCTCCTGAGGAATACAACCTTGTCGCATGGGTACTAAATTCCCTGCCCTACCTCCCCTTCAATATTAGTCACAATTCAAAAAGGTTATTGAGGTCTGAAAGCTCAGTACCCGCTAGTAGACCGTCTTCTATGGAAGTATTGTTTGAGATGTGTGTAATATATGTCGTTTATAGCTATACGTCCAAACTGAAACTGTATTAAATAAACGCGCCAGAAAACTAATTATTATATCTGGCTGTTATATACACTCTGGAGTGACGATCGGGAGATGCTGCTTTTGCAGGTTCGACCAGCTCTAATAAATTCGATTCCAAAAGGTGACACCTCAGTAGTGGATAAAGCATTGGGTAACCAATTTATACTGCAGAGCCTGACCGTTGTTGCCAACGTCGCTTTTCAATGCACTGAGAAGGAGGGGGCTAATAGGCCAACAATGACCGAGGTGGTGAGGGAACTCAAACGGGCCTTAGATATTGAATATCTTCTCCCAAGCAACAAGTCTTCACCTCAACAATGTGTTCGATCTATTCCGAAAAGCATTAACAAACAGAAATCTTGTCATTTCGCGGAAATATACCCTTCCCTTTCTGAAAACATACGTCCTATCCACTAATAGAAATTGCTCCATGAGGAGCTCCACTATTAACTGCCTGGAATATGCTTGAAACTCTTGTCAAATATGATTCAATTGACGAATTCTGTAATTTTCTTGAGTTAAGAGAGGCAGTTGTGGAGTGCGAGATACTCTACACTGGCCCATTATAGAAGTAAATGCCTTTCAGTCATCCTTCCAAATAATTTAAGTAATGTATTTATAAAATTTTATTTGATTATTTCAATATCAAACAATTATACATGATTCTAACATCTAATGTATTTAATATTAATATTATAAAAAATAAATATCTTCTGTAATATTATATAAAAAGAACTAGAAAACTTGTAACCAAATAAAATAATATAAAAATTATAAATACTATATATATATATATATATATATATATATATACATATACATATAATAATCTTAATAAATATCATTTGTCATGGGCTAACAAAACCATTAAAGAAACTACTTACATTTTTATTGAAATGTTTTTTATGAGCCAAAAAATATAAGAGATAAAATTATATATATATATATATATATATATATATATATATATATCAAAACAAATATTATACATAAATAAATAGATATTAAAGAAAAAAACAACAAAAATACTATTTCTAAAGCATATAGTGATAATCATGCAAAAATAGTATTATAATTAACATTAAATTAAAAAAATACTACAAATCTATCAATTCATTCATCAATATAATTATTTATTGCGACAATAATCCATTACTTAATCCAACCATCCATTGATCTATTAAACAATCAAACCATCCATCAATCTATTATTCAATCTAACAATTGAACCATCAATCTATAATAGTAGGATCCATATATATATATATATCTTATCTTATAATAGAAACTCTATTAAAAGCTCTACTTAAAGCTCCTCCTATAGCTCTTTTAAAGCTCTTTTTTTTTTTTTATTTTCTATTCAATCAAAATAAAAATAAACAAACTCTAAGACCTCTCATCTCAAGCTTTCATATCAAATTCACCACTTATGATGTATTATATATATACTTGCTTGACAATGCATTGAGCACGTAATTGTGGAAGATAAATAAAAACACAATAAGAATTCTACCAAGTTTAATAGAATCTTAAATAAAATTTAAATAATTCTTAATAATGCTAATAAAATTTTAATCAATCCAAATAAATATAAAAAAAATTATACACGAAATACAAAGATGTTATAAATTAATCTCAAAAAAATATAATAAAGAAATCTTAAGAAATATATATATATATATATATATATATATATATATAAACAATTAAAAATCTATATTAAATTAATACTATAAATAGAAAATTTATAGAAATAATTATAAAATATTTTAAAATATTTTAAATTAAAATTTTAAATAAATCCTAAAATAATCTTAAATCAAAACTAATTTATCTTAATTTATCCTAATTAATATTCTAATGAATTTTTATCAAATCTTAGGTCAAATTCTAGTTAAATCCTAATTAAAATCCTAAATAATATCTTAATGAACCTTAATCAAATCTTAGGTCAAATTCTAATGAAATTCTAATAAAATCTCCAATCTTAAATAAATCCTAAAGAAATCCTAATAAAATTCTAAATCCTAGACCAACCTTAATGAAACCCTAACAAAATCTTAAATCCTAACTAAATCCTAAATTATAAACATATCCATAACAACTCTATAATAGGTTGAAAATTAAATAATTAATAATTCAATCATTGATTTTTATTCAAAATTTGTAAAATTTGTAAAAACTAATTTAGCAATAATCACAAAAAATTTGAAAAATATTACACATATCTAATAGACAATAATCTTTAAACTCTACTTGAGTGTTAGTCAATCTCTTTTTCTAACCTTAAAGTTGATATTCTAGAGTTTCAATCTCTTAATTTTACTATTCAATTTTTTTCAAACTTTGAAAAATTATTAAAAGACAAATTAGCTACTATTGAGCAAAATTATATATCAATCCAATAAGTAGATTGACAAATATCTTAAAAGCCTCACTACACCTTCAAGTTTCAATTTTCAATACCATAAATCAATTTATTTTTCATATTCATTGATCTAACTATTCAATTGACTTTAAATCTTTCATACCTATTTATAACAAGCTTAATAAAAAAATTACCAAATTTTTACTTATAAATAAACTAAAAAACTTACAAAATCTTAAACTTTATAAATATGTTTTTATTTTTTAAAATCTAAATCTTCCAAGTACATTACTCGCTTTGAAAATCCCTCAAAACTTCAATATTAATCCAAATGATATGAAATAAACTTTTAAAAATCTCTTTATCCGTTTACTCCTTGATTTTGCTCACCAATATGTAAAAGAAGCCTAGAATCATTGTAGATGCACCATTTTGTGCCTTAAGATCTAATTTCGACCTAAGTTCACAATTAATCTTTTTTAAGTATCAAATTTTGATAATTTCAAGTAATTTTATTTAAACCAATTTTAAATTTCTTTTAAAAATATTCATATTATTTTTTTATTTCATTTATTTTATTTTGAGAGATTTATGCTTTTACAAAATAAATAAAAGTAGCAACTACAAAAAAATAGCATGAAGTCTAAAATTTTTATAACCTTCTTATCATTTATCATTATTTTTTTATATTTTTCTAGTAGGCTCTTCTATAATATTATCCATATTTTTTTTATTTATATCTCACCATAAAGTCATCTTATTATATGACACTAAACTAAAAAGCAACACCTTACTTGCTAGGAAGGTCAAGCACTTGAACTCCATCCAAAACTATACCTATATGTAATACATGAAAGTATAGGATTTCATTAGCTAGACTAAGTTTTAGACCTTCTCTTACTAGCTTCCATTGAAAAATGATACCATTGTCAAATATGTGAAGCAATTTGAAGACACAACACTTAGCATCAGCAAGGTTGTACACAAAGAGAGTATGGAATAAGATGTCTCTCACTTCCAATATCCATTACTTATAGATAGTGGTTGCTACCCTAAAAGAAAACTTCCATTCTTTGACTTTTATACATGTAGCCCGAGGATCCTTTTGGCATCTCACGAGCCTCAAGGATATCCTATGACATATACTAATGACTCATACTTAGTCTTTAGATATTTTCTTTTTAATACTTTAACCTTTTGACATTGATTCTTGATCCATGACTTCATCTTATATCCATTGGATGCCCTTACCATATACCAGGAGTCAAACCTTTGACTACTAGTAACTTATCTAAGTTAATATCCTCTTTAAGATAATTTATTCCACTTTTATTTTAATACTCCCACTTTGCTATTAGTCAAATGGCTTTTAATCCTAATGCCTTTGTCAACATGTGGTGTCTATCTTTTACTAATGCCTTTGTCGACAAATCAGCAAGCATTTCCTTCGTTGCACAATACTTCATATCAATCACTCTCATTTCAATCTTCTCTCTTATGAAGTGATGTTGAATTGTAATGTGCTTGGTCCTTGAATGATGCTTTGGATTCTTTGCAAATACAAGACATCTTTGATTGTCACACTCCATTGGAGTTGCTTCCATTTGTACATCTCCAATGTCCTCCAAAAGTTGTCTCAACCATATTGCTTCCATTGGACCATGGCTTGCTGCCATGTACTCCGCCTCCATTGTTGATCTTGCAATGGTTGGTTGTTTCTTACAATTCCATGAAATTACTCCCACTCCAACAAAGAATACATAGTCTATTGTTAACCTTCTATCATTTGCATCTCCAATCCAATCCGCATCACAATAACCATGCAATCTAATGTTAGTACCTCCAAGGCATAATTTCAAGTTCAAAGTGCCTTCTAAGTACCTCATGATCCTTTTGATGGTTGCCCAATGGATTGGTCCAGCCTTTGACATGTGTTGGCTCACAACACTCACCGCATATGTAAGATCCACCCTTGTGCCAACCATTGCATATATAAGTGAGTCCACTGCTGCCTTGTATGGAATACCTTGCATTTGACCTTCAACTTCAACAAACTTTTCATCCGTGAGCTTCATCAACTTCAAGTTTGCCTCCAATGATGTTCCAATAGGCTTATACTTCTCCATGTTGAATCGCTTTAATACTTCTTCAATGTACTTGCTTTGGCTCATTGTAATGGTTTTTTTAGCAGGATCTCTTATAAACTCCACTCGTAAACAATAGTGAAGCTCTCCTAAATCCCTCATTTCATACTCCTTTTCTAACTTTGCCTTCAACCAATCCATCATCTTCAATGTATTGGTTAAGATGATCAAATCATCAACATAGAGGATGACAATCAATATGAACCTATTTGATTGCATCACATATAATGAATGATCAGCCTCACTCCTTACAAATCCTTCACTCCGAAAGAATGTATTAATACATTGGTATTATACCCTTGGTAATTGTTCTGCCCATACAAGGATTTCTTCAACTTACAAACAAGGTGTTGTTTGCCTTCTTCAACAAATCCTTGAAGTTATTGCATGTAGATGTCTTCTTCCAAACTTCCATTCAAGAAAGCCGTCTTCACATCCATTTGATGCATCTCCAAGTCCAATGTTTCTTCAATTGCCACAATGGTTCTAGTGGTGGTGAATGTGGCCACAAAAGCAAATATCTTATTGAAATCCACACGAGCAACTTGTGAGTAGCCTTTAGCAATCCATCTAGATTTATATCTTACAATATTATCCATTGCATCCCTTTTGATTCTAAACACCCACTTATAACCAATTGAAGATTGATTTGGTGGAAGTTGAGTTACATCCCATATTCCATTGTCCATGAATAATTTGAACTCTTTTTCCATAGCATTCTCCCACTTCAATGCATCGGTGGACTTCATTGCATCACATAAACTCAATGGATCAGCAAGAAATGCAACATTGGCATGTTCTTCACTTACTTGAAGAAAGATGTGGTCCTTCCACCATTCACCACGTGGTTTTCTTTCTCTCAAAGGATATCTCCTATTATTTGAAAAAGATCCTTCTTGTTCTTCAATGCTTGTCTTTTCTCACTCAAAGGTTGATATTCTTCATCATCATCATCACCTTCAATATCTTCATTGTCTTCATTGTTGATTCTAGTAATTGAAGGCACACTATGATTTATCTTCTTTGGCACTTGATCTTGACTTCTATTTCTTCCATCTTCATTG